CAGAGCAGGAGCAGCAGCAGCTCATCGATGACCACTTCCTGTTTGACAAGCCCGTGTCCCCACTGCTGCTGGCCTCAGGCATGGCCCGGGACTGGCCCGACGCCCGTGGCATCTGGTGAGACCCCCATCCCAAGCCTCCCCTCCTCCAGCCTTCTCCAGTGACCCCACAGTCCTCCTCATTCCTCCACCGAAGTCAAGACCATAAGTAATTATGTTTTCAAGAGCCGGAATATGACCTTGCCCTCCACCCCTGCTAACCCTGTGGTCTGTGTCACATTTTGGGAAACGGGGACCAGGCAAGTGGCAGTTAGGAACTTACACTTGAATGAGACCCTCTGGGTTCAAATCCCAGTGCTGCCACTTAATGGCTGTGTGTCCTTGGGCACACTATTTAACTGCCCCAGTTTCCCCACCTATAAAATAGAATCACAATAATTCATAGTTGTTGGGATTCTCGTGAGGATTAATGAGTGCATACATGTAAATTATAGAAAACAGTGCCTGCTATATAGTAAGTTCTCAGTACATCTTAGCTGTTAGTATGATCTTTATTACTAACTACCATCACTAGCTAGGTTTTCTATAAATCTTTGAATCCCTGATTCTGATAGTCAAAGATTTAAAAAGGTTTCAAGAACCTAGGTTTCAAATGATTTGGAGAGTGTAGGTTCCAAGATTTACAGATAGGCGGGTTCTAAGATCTCACGATTTTAAGATTTTTAGGTTCTAAGATTTCACTAATTTCAGATTCTGTGATCCCATGGTTTCAAACATTTCCAGATCTGAAAGTTTTATGAGTCTAACTAAGACTCTGTTTCTGAGGTGTAACAATGTGATAGGAAGATTCTTTGGTTCGCAGACCAGATGTAGGATTTCCAATTTTTATCAATCTTGACTCCAAGCTTCCGACTCTGAGATTCGAAGAGTCTATAATTTAATGCTGTTTAAAGACTTAGACCCTAAAAGTCCTTGTTCCCAAGTCTCAAGAGTTCACAGATCCTGTGGCGTTAGTCTACAGGCTTACGCTTCTGCGATTCTGAGGAAGCAAATACCACCTCATGCCCCCTCAGCCCACTGCCCTCTAGCGGTGGGTATTTGTGAAAGGGCGGGAAATGGGGTTCCCGTGGAGCTGATGCCTTGGTCTCTGGCTGCACCCCACCCTAGGCATAATGACAACAAGACCTTCCTGGTGTGGGTGAACGAGGAGGATCATCTCCGCGTCATCTCCATGCAGAAGGGAGGCAACATGAAGGAGGTTTTCCGTCGCTTCTGCGTGGGGCTGCAGAAGGTGGGTGCCTGCCCTGGCGACTGACTTCCGACTCCACCCTGAACGCCCCACCCACTTCCCAAGGCCCCGCCCTTCGGATCCCGGCCCCTCCCACGGACTCCCAACAGCTTTCCAAGATCCCGCCCCCTGCCCATCAGGCTCCTCCCAATACTGCTCAAGCCCCACCCCTGAGGCACATCCAACCCTCTTTCCAAGGCCCCGCCTCCTGGGGAACCCGGTTGCACCCCTACGTTCAAGCCCCGCTCCTAAGAATCCAAAACGTTCTCAAGCTCCGCCTTCTCAGAATCCTGCTCAGAATCCTGCTGTCCTCTGTGTCGTCGGTGCCTTCCCTTCAGAACCTCATCCCTCCCTGTTTCCCCGCCGCGCCCTCTCAGAACCCCGCCCCCACCCACATCCTCAAGCTCTGCCCCTTCGAACTCCGTCGGGGTTTTGCGTGTATTTGGGGGCGCCCGCTGGCGCTGACTTGACCCCTGGCCCTCTCACCCTACCTCAGATTGAGGAGATCTTCAAGAAAGCCGGCCACCCCTTCATGTGGAACGAGCATCTGGGCTACGTGCTCACCTGCCCATCCAACCTGGGCACCGGGCTGCGTGGAGGCGTACACGTAAAGCTGGCACACCTGAGCAAGCACCCCAAGTTCGAGGAGATCCTAAACCGTCTGCGCCTGCAGAAGCGTGGCACAGGTGCGGCCAGCCTCCCCGCCCCACGACGTCGGGGGTGGGCCCTTTGCGGTGGCGGGTGAGGAGGCGGGGTATCCCTGCGAGTTGTGGGGGTCGGCAAGGGTGCCCTTCTTGAGCCTCAGTGCCTTCCTCTGCAAATGGACATCAAAACGCCTTATCTCATAGGAGTCAATAAGATATCATCATGGTTATAAAATATACATTGTGTATGCACCCGCCCCCCCAGGGGCCTCGGTTTCCCAGCTGTAAAGAGGAAGACGGTCAGCATTAGGCCCCAGGCAGCCTGGGGCTCCAGAGCTAGTCGCTCTCTTGCCCACCCACCATGCTGTATTTTCGTGTTGGATGGGAGAGGGGTGCGGTAACTAGAGCCGGGGATGTGGGCTGGCGAACAGCCAGCCATTCAGGAGTCTCTGCGTGCACGTAACGTGTTACACAGTAGGCGCTTGGTACACGCAGCTGTCGCGGTGGGCACGGGTGCGGCGCCCCGCGCCCCGCGCCCCGCTTCCGCACCTCTGCTCCCTCTTCATGGCCCTGCTTTCTGCTCTCGCAGGTGGCGTGGACACAGCTGCCGTGGGCTCAGTGTTCGACGTGTCCAACGCCGATCGTCTGGGATCGTCCGAGGTAGAACAGGTGCAGCTGGTGGTGGACGGCGTGAAGCTCATGGTGGAGATGGAGAAGAAGCTGGAAAAGGGCCAGTCCATCGACGACATGATCCCCGCCCAGAAGTAGACTCCCAGACTGCCCGCCGCCGACTGCTGGAGCCCCAGCCGAAGGGAAGGCCCGGCCCACTGGAGACACGCCCCTTCACCCTTCACTCCGCCCCTTTCCCCCGGAGGGCCGCCTGCAACGGTTCGGTCAACCCGGGACTCTATCCACCCTTCTCGGCGGTCCGATTCCAACCAGAGTTCCAACCATTGGGCCCCATCCTCTGGGTTCTGGCCAATGAAAAACCTCCCTTACACCCTCCTCTCCTTTTCCCAGCGCTCGGCTCACCAGCAGGAGTTCTGGCTAACGGAGAGCGCTCTACGCATCTGGAGCTCGTGCTTTTTTTCCACTTAAAGCAACAAATAAAAGCAATGGTGGCCTTAACTTTGAGTGCGATAGTTACTGAGGGAGGAGGAGGTATTTCTGTAATTGGCCGCTGTCTGACCTCCAAGTGGTTTGCCCTCTCTAGGCAAGGACTAGGCACGTTTTATCCCATCTCTAAAGTGAGGCAAAGGTAGGGTACAGAGCGTAATCCAAAATTCCAAGGCTCTGTGGAGAATCTGAAACCCAGGGAAGTGTGGCCCAGTGTCATATACCCACGCCTGGGCCCAGCCCAACCTTGGCTCCTGATCACACATGCTCAGATCTCAAACACAGGGTCCACGGGGGCCAGAAACACAGGCCGGGGACGCAGGCCAAGGCTTGAATTCGCCCCACAGGCTTTCAGTTTGAAACCTCACACACGTTTCATCACATGTACCTCGCTGTGCTGTTCACCGGCCTTCTGTTGACATCTGACTTCATTCCTCTGTAGTTGCTTCCAGCCTTTTCAACCGCACGTGCTTGGCTCAAAAAACTGCCATAGCTCCCACATCTTCTAAAAAGCATTCCTTTTATTTGTGCCTCTTCAAGGTCAAACTGTAATGCACACAATTTGCTGAGGCTCACCTTTCGGGCTCTTTTCCCACTATTCTGTATCCTTTTTGGCTTCTCACACCCTGCAGTTCCCACCTTAACGCCTTCGCTCTGGCTGTTTCCTCCTCCAGAGAGGGGCTCGGGTCAGAGCACCCCCGTGAAGTCTTTAGGGACTGGCCTTTTGGAGAGCCTGGTCCCCGAAGGAGCAGGAAGGGGAAATTGAGGCCTAGGATTCCCCAAGAATTCCAAGAGATCACTGAAATGGGGAGGTCAGGAGACACCCCGAAGGTCTAGCCACGCAAGGCCTGTCAGATGCCAGGATGTCCATTAGAATATTGTCCCCAACTGGAGATCCCATCACCAATCCCAGCTCCACCCCAGAGCCACACAGACCACAGACACTGCAGTGGGGACAGACGGAGCCAGTCCCACCTGCAGTCCAGCTGCCTGTCAGCTCCCAGGCCCACCCTGCCCACCCTGCCTCGGAACCCCGAAATCCACCCCTTCTCTCCCTCCCTTCGGCCCTGCCCCGACTCCTTCCCTACTCTGCCTCCTTCCCTCACTCCACAGCACAAACCTGTCCCTGCCTCTCCCTTGCTCACAACCTCGCCAGGGCTCCCCAGTGCCCTTGGGAGATCCAGGCCCCTCTCCACAACCTTCAAGTCCCTGCCGACATCTCCAGCCCCCCCCCCCGCCCCGAATCACATGCCATTTGCTGAAAGACATGTGCTCTGTCTTGCTCCCCAGTCCCTCAATTACACGTGCTGTTCCCTCTAGAACGCAGTGCCCCACCCCCCATGGCCCCATGTCCAGGAGCTGCTCCTTCTAGGAAGCCCTCGCTGGCTGGGGCAGGCTCCTCCTCCGGACGCCCCCACGCCAGCCCTGCCCAGTCTGGATCAGTGCCGAGGACTGAGCTGCCTCCACTGAACAGTGAACCCAGCCTGTTACCTCTGTGCTCCCAGCCCAGGGCTGGGTCCCTCCCAGCCATGCACCGCCCCCCACCCCCCGCCTCCTTCTGCCCTCTCATCTATAAACACCATCCAGCAGTTTGCTCTTCTGGCCTCTGTCAGAAGACAGCAGTGCTGTTCTGCCCCGGCCCCTTAATTTTTCAACACTGATCCCTCTTAATCTCTACCATCCTTCATTTCTCACATTGCTTTCCTAACAGCATCATGAAGAACACAAGAGCTGACCCTACCATGCCCCAAATGAGCAACAGAGGCAGTTAAAACCCTTCCCTGCATACGCCCCTCCGTGGCTCCTCAGTGCCCTGGGATATAAATTGTTTGCTTGCTTTGGCCCACAAGGTCCTGGGCGAGCAAGACCTGCCTCCTTGTACTAGACAGTCCTCAACTGCTTAAGTCGACTGAGCTTCCATTTCCCTGCTGTTAGGATTCCTTAACTTTCCTTTTGGGGAACCACCCTTCAAGGCCAGTTCTATGTATGGGGCTGGCCACCTGAGTCTCAGTGATTGGTTCAGAAATGGTCTCGACTTGTCTTTTTTGGAACTTTTCCTGAAGTTGGCAATAAGGAATTTCCTGTTGCAGAAGCTAAGCTGGAGGAGTGAAAGTTGGAACTGCGGGGGTCACTCTGCCGTCGGGGAGCGTCTACTGGAAAAAAACCACTAGAATGAAACATGCTGCAAAGCAGCAGCGATGAGCGGGCCCATCCACACCTGAACGCTGCTGCCTGGACCCAGCCGCCCCTGCAGTCAGGCGCCCTGGACTGTTAAATAACGTAACCGAACAAAGAGCTTTTGGCTTAAGTGTAGATAGATTATTAGTCCTAATACAGCATCTCTTGCTTATTCTCCACGCACCCCCAACGTAGCAGCCACACTGGAATCACCCACAGTCCTCCGAGGACACACCACGCCCCCAACCCCCGGCTTTTGCCCAGGGCATATACAATACCTGGGCAACTCTCCTACTCACCTTTCAAAACCCAGCTCTGACATCGCTCCCTCTGCAGTGCCTTCCCTCACCTCCCCTCTTCCGGGCTCCCCCAGTGCCCAAGCGATTGTCTCTCTCTAGTGTTTGTGTCATAACCGCGCCCCCGTGGACGGGGCTGCTTGCACTTCCATGTCCAGCACTGGGCCTGGCGCGGAGGCGGCACCGGTCAATGACTGTTTATTGGGTAAATGTACTACTGGAGTAAGAAGTGGCTTGGAGCCCACTATATCATGTGGGTGAGCATGTGAGTGGATGAACAGGGGCCCCACACAGGACCTGGGGGCCTTGTAGACAAGGCCGAGTTCTGTCCGGCCCTCTCCCACAATCACCCCGACCCGCTCATCCCCCCACCCTCGTCCTGCAGATGAGAAAACCGAGGCTCGGAAAGGAGGGACCGCTGGCCCAGTCACACCCCTCCTCTTCATCTCACTTGCAGGTGAGGGCAGGGAAGGAAAACCCCGGGGTCAGCATGGGGGAGGGGGACTCTCCTAAGTTTATTGGACAAACAGGCTGCAGGTGAGGGGGCAGACAGGAGGATGGGGGGTGTAATAACTTAAAAACCGGAGGCGACAGCGCCAGCTCCAGCTCCTTGAGAGATCTCTGCAGAGGGGAGGGCGTAGGGGTATTTACAAGGATTTGTACAAAGTGTCCCGCACCAGCCTGGGGCAGGGAGGGGGTTCGAGCATGGGGGGCAGGGAAGGGGAAGGAATCTGCCTCTCTGATCCCCCACTCCCAGCCCCGCCAATTCTCCAGTCTTTAGGCTCAGCAACTCTTCCTGCCTCTGCCCAAGGCCTAATTCATCAACTGTTGGGAGGAATGAAAGAGTGTCCTCAGTTTCCCTTCCTGCCCCTGCCCCGCCCCCAAAGTCTCCTCAGGTGCCCGGTGGCAGGGTGCGGAGGGACAGGGCTGGCCGGAGCTCCAGGAAGGTGCCAGCTCCCCCTGCTGAGCCCGCTCGCTCTCCTCTCCCGCCAAGCGTCCCGGGGGACGGCAGAGACAGCCTGTGCCCCCAAATCCAAGTCAGGGCAACGGAGGGGATGGCAATGGAAGAATCCGCTTCCTGACCCCTCTCCCTCCTGGAGAAGTGAAGGGGACAAAGAAGAAGAGGTGACCCAGGGCCGTGGCGGCTCAGAGCTCGAGGTCGTTGGAGATGCGGGTGACGAGGGTGCGGAAGGCCAGGGCGGTGCCCGCCACGCGGCGGAAGAGAACTCCCCGCAGGCCCGGCCGGGGCAGCTGGCAGACCTCCACCTCGAAGTGGGACAGGGGCTCGGGCCCGCCCGCACCCCCGTGCAGGCAGGCCAGCAGGAACGGCTGTGGCTGGCGGCAGCGGCAGCGGGCGGCCGCGGTGGCCTGGCGCAGAGCTGCCATCAGGGCCTCGGGCGGGCGCGAGCTGGTCAGCTTCACACTCCAGGGGAATCGGAGCAGCCGGGGGGCGGTTTCCGTTTGATCCCAAGGTAGATGGCAACTGAGGCAGGAAGGTATCAGAGGTCACAGATGGCGGAAGAGAGAAAGGGAACCCTACTGTTCCCACTTCAGGACAGATTCCTGGAGGTCCTCTCCGAACCTGTCTCCACCCTTTAACCCCAGTGACAAAGTTTCAGCCGGGCATACAGGTGCCCAGACATTTCCCAGCACCCCCTGCAGCCAGGCATGGCCAAGTCTTCAAATTCCAGGAAGCAAGTGCAATTGATACACATGCAACGCCACACACGCCACCTCCTCCAGAGGACGCCGTGTGCCCTGGCCCCCATGCTCCCCGTCCTGTGAGCCGGACGCGGCTGCAGCACGAGCTGGACTTGAGGGTCGGTGATGCCAGAACCGGGCCACCTGCGCGGCCACGTGGAGCCCAGCGGCCCTGGCAGCCTCGCCTCGCCGCAGGTTTGTGGGAAACAGAAACGGATCCCTGTCTGGGTTTTGGGGCCTCTTTCCCTGGTAGCTGGGCTTGTTTCTTAACAAGTATGTCCTTCTGGTAGAACAGCCGCTTTTCCCTGGAGGACCAAGCCTCCCCTCTCTAGACCAGGGTTCTCACCCAGAAGCAGCACTGTCATCCCCACAAAAGGTACTTGGACATTTCTGGGGACCTTTTGATTGTCACAATGTCTAGAGACGGGAGCACCGCTGGCATTTACTACACTGTGTATGAGGAAGACCAGGGGACGATAGGGACATGGTCTGCCATGGGCAAGAGGGCCGGCACCAGGGAGACAGCCACCCCTCAGGCACCAAGGTGCTCCTTCGAGAAGCGCTGCACTGCAAGGGGCGCTCGGTGGAGGGAGGGGAAGAGTACCTGGTAGAGGAGGGAGGGTTAGAGGGGCATTTCAGGAGTTAGCCTTCGAGGAAGAGGCTCAGGTCCCATCTCAGGGCCCGGGGTTCGGGGAGGAGGTGCTGAGACAAGTGGGGTCTGAGGCAGGTGAAGGGGGCGGGGCTGGCGTGGCAGCCAGGGGCAGGCCCACACACTTACCTTGTGACCTCAGGTCCCCCGATTCTCTCAGGTTCGTCTGAGACCCTAGGGGAGAGGAAGGGGCAGAGTGTTTCACCTGGACCCAAGGAGCCCCCTCCCCCAACCCGCTGCCTCCAAGACTCTGGGCAGCCCCCTGCCTTGGCCCCAGTCCCTCCTGCTGGCTGGAGCTGGGCAGGGAGGGGCCTGGAGCCCGGATTTCATCTCCCTTTCCGTGCCCAGAATAGGAGCCCATGGTTAGTGCAGGTTGTAGGAAAGATACTGAAGAATTTGGAAGACAAAAGAAAGAGGGGGCGGGCAGAGACACACACCCACATACAGAAGGGGTGACACAGGCACACGCACCCCTTCCTCAGGCTCTGCGCCAGCGACACGCCCTCAGGGAGGCCTGCCCCATTTAAGACTGCTCCGTCCCTCCCCCACCCCCACCCCCTTCCCGCTCTACTTTCCTCCTTAGAGCTTGTCCTGGCCTGCCGGGCTCTGCGTTTTACTTGTTTACTGCTTACTGCCTGCCGTCCCTACTAGGACGCTGGCCGGCCCGGGCAGGGCTTGGCAGAGCACATTTTGTTTGTTTTACTCCAGGGCCCAGGATGGCGCCAGGCACACAGTAGGTGCTCAATGAATAATCCTCGCAAACATTTATAAAGCGTTTTCCAAGGCCACGTTCTCAGCTCGACCCAAAAATCACCTCACTTAGTCCACACAGCACCCCTGTGAGGGAGCTAATGTTATTACTATCTTTACAGAAGAAAAAAAGTAAGGCCCAGAGAAGTTGAGTGACTTGCTCCAGGTCACTCAGCAGAGCTGGGGTCTCAACCTCAGGAGCCTGGCTCCAGATGCCAGGCCACTGTTAATTAGATGAGTAAATGACCCCCGCACAGACCCCGCTCCCACTCACAGAGCCCCACCCCCATGCCTGCACACACGGCTCAGACATGCAGACGGCGAGGCAGAGCCAGTGAGAGTGGAGGGCGGACAGGACTTACTGATCTTGGATCCCTGGGGCAAAGAGGCGCCCGAAACGCAGCGGTTAGAGTTCTGCCGTTTAGAGGGATCGAGGGTAACCCTGCAGTGCGAGGAGGGAGTGAAGGGTGACGGAGGAGGAGAAAGAGGAGGAGGAGGAGATGATGCCAAGGTAAAGGAGGCAGAGTTGAGTAGGAGACAGGTTAGACCCCAGCAGCCCCCCTCCCCGACCCTGACCCCGTGTCCGGGGGGACTCACCTTCGGGTCAGTTTGGAGGTCAGCTTGGTGAAGAGGTTGGTGGTGGGGCGCGGCCGCCCAGTGGGCAGGGGCGTGGCCTCGTGGGCCAGTGTGGGAGAGGCAGGGGGCCCGTTCTGCACGCCCCCGCCGCCCCCGCCCCCTGCGCGCCGGTCCCGGACCTGGCCGCCGTGGAAGGTGCTCCGGATGGTGGAGCCCCGTGCCAGGCGGCTCCGCTCCCCTGATGGGGGAGCCAGGCTGTGACTGGAGGGGGAGGCGGGGGGCACCCGTGCGGTACCCGAGCTGTGGGCACAGAGGAAGAAGTCAGGGCGGGACCCCCAAGGCAGGCCCGGTGTCCAGTCCCTTTAATTCTCCACTGTCCTGTCCTGAGATAAGAAACCGCCCAACCCAGAGCTCAGAGACGGGGCAACTTGTGCGAGCTGTGGACTGCGCAGCCCCCTGCAAAGTCTTCCCTCCTTCACACTGCCCCGTCTTCAAACCCTGCCCCTCCAAACTGCCCCCTTTGCGCCCAACTCTCCTTTCCAAACTCAGCTATTCAACAGATTCAGACCCATTTTTGGATGAATCCTTTGCTTTTTGCCATCCAAACCTCAGGGACCAAATCAACTTCGTGAACTCTTTGCTACCTCAACTTTTAATCATCCAAACTTGGGAAAGGGATAGCTGCGTATGTGAAGGTGGCCTATATTCATGAAAACAAATTTTCAACAGGTGAAAATAAAGAGGAAAGGACCCTCTTCCTCACTCTCTCAAGATGCTGTGTGGGCAGCGGCTGTCCAGCTGTCCCAGGACCCTCCTCCGGCCCCTGGAACCCTCCCCGTCCTGACAGCAGGGGCCAGACCTCCAATCTCTACCCTTCTAGGGACCCCAGCACCAGCCTGGATCTCAAAGAGAGAACCCTGACTGCGGCAGATGCCACTACCCCTCCCCCAGAATCCAACCTTCTCGTTTTTCTATAGTAACCAACCAAATCTCTAAGAGGACGAGCACTGTACACAGGCCACACAGCCAGAGACTATATTTCCCAGCCTCCCTTGCAGCTAGGAGTGGTCATGTGACCATGGTCTGGCCAATACGATATAAGCAAAAGTGCTTGGTACTATTTCTGGATCAAAAAAGAATGCTGCTTGTCCTCTTCATTCTTTCTGCCCTTCTGGCTGGTCGAGAAATGGTGGCAACTGCTGTAGCGGCCTGAGACCTAGAGGTAGCGCCTCACGTTGAAAACGGCAGAAGCAATTTGGGTCCTTGGAGGACCCCGCCTATCCGCCCTGGATGGTCACGCCACAGAGGACTAAACCTCCCGTCTCCTTTAAGCCCTGACACCTCGGGGTCCCTTCATTTCAGCAGCTGAGTCTATAACCTGACTATACACTGTCTCTTGACTAGAACTGGAAGGTCATGCATTCTAATGGTTACAAATACAGAGTCTAGAGTCAGTCTAGAATCTTTGCTCCTTGAGTTGCCAGCTGTGTGGCCCAGGACAGTCTACCTAACCTTTCTGTATCTCATTTCCTCAGTTATAAAATGGACATACCAGGATCTACCTCACGGGGCTGGTAGGGGCCTTCAATCAGCTAAGCTCCAGAGGCCTTGCTCATGGTCACTGCTCGATGAATTATTACTTTTGTACCCTTCAGTCCTGGTGGGGAGGGGTGTCATTATCCCAAAGTGCCCCCCACCGACTCCTGAACTTCAGCTCCGACACGAACAACTTCATCCCCCTTTACGCTGCAGGCCGACCGCACCGGTCTCCCCCGCGTGCCAGCTCCAAGAGACTGAACAGACTGGAGCAAGTAAGTTTGAAAACAAGCCAACCAGAGGATGTGGAAGCTGTGACATTCTGGGGTTTCTAAGTTCTAAAAATGGATCATTCAAAAAAACAACTCTCATTTCTAAGGCTCGTAGGCAGAGAACAGGGCAGACTCTTCCCTATCCTGATGACTGATTAATTAATTGAGGGGGAGGACTTTCAGGGGCGTTGGGGAGGGGGAGCACATGGGTAGAGCCTGCCCCGGGAAGGGCGAACATACACCTTCCCCAGTCCCCGAGCCGCCCCCCCATCTATCATCTTAGATAAAGGTGGGCCCTGCTCACCCCATCCCGCCCCCCGGCCCCCTTCTCCATTGCCGCCCCCGCCATACCTGTTTTCTTTGCCATTTGGCAACAGGGACGGGCGCTCAGCCCCCGGGCGTTCTGTGCAAACGTAGGTGTTTCTGCGGGTCATCATGCTGGGAGGGAGATTGCTCTGTGGGAGACATGGCCCGAAGGGGTGTGAGGGGGGGGCAGGGACACCCCCAAACTCCTCACTTTTAGGCTGAGGCCTGTGTGTAAACTGACGGTTTACTCTGGGCTAAAGGACCTGAAGACACGAGGTTTATGGGCTGGCTCGGCAATCTAGGCTGAGTCGCAGGAGGCCACTGAGCTGAGACGAGGAAGTGTCAAGGAAGGCTCCAGGGAACAGCCTTGTCCCCCTCTCTCCCCACTCCACCACCCCGTGGGACAGTCCATCAAAATTTTTATTTTTATTTTTTTAAAAGATTTTATTCATTCATTTTTAGAGAGAGGAGAAAGGAGGGAGAAAAACACCAATGTGTGGTTGCCTCTGGTGCCCGCCCCTCCCCCGCCCACTGGGGACCTGGCCTGCAACACAGGCACGTGCCCTGACTGGGAATGGAACCAGCGACCCTTAGGTTTACAGGCCGGCGCTCAATCCACGGAGCCACACCAGCCAGAGCCCATCAAACTTTTTGAAACACACTCCTGCCATACTGTCTCTTCTCTTCGCCTTTGCAGACTGTCTCATCTGCTTGGATATTCCTCCTACCTTCCCCCTGACTCACTCCTATGTACATCTGAGGTGTCACTTCATGATCTACCCCCACCCCCGGCCCCAGGCTGAATCAGGTGCCTCTCCAATGAGGCCGGGTTTGCTCCGTATTGTCAACATCTGTTCACATGCACGATCTTGCCTCGCACAGAACTGTGAGCTCTCTGAGAACAGGAAATACCTCATCAGGATTATGTCGCCTCATCAACTGCACTGGGAAGGGATCCCTCTTTTTTAATCTCAGGTAGTTTGGCTAAGATCGGTATTTTTTATTTCAATGTTTGGAAGAACTCCACCAGTTTAGAGCCATCTGGGTCTGGAAATTTTTTTCTTAATGGGCAAGTCTTCGGTAAAAACATAGTTCTCTTTTTGACTCTGATATTGGTAATTCTTATTTGCTATCTTTTTTCTTAATCAGTCTTGCTAGGGATCCACTGCTTTTATTAATGTTTTTCTTCTTTTTAAAACATGTTTATTGACTTTAGAGAGGCAGGGAGAGAGAGAGAGAAACATTGGTTGTTTCCTGTACGTACCCAACCTTAGTTCAACCCTGTAACCTAGGTATGTGCCCTGATTGGGCATTGAACCTGCAACCTTTTAGTGAATGGGACACTTCAACCAACTGAGCCATGTCAGCCAGAGCTATTAATCTTCTCAAGAACCAGCTTTTGGCTTTGTTGGTTTTTCTCTAGAATACATTAGTTTTCCCCTTTATTGACTTTATTATTTTTTTCCTTCTACTTTTTTCGAGTGCTCATTCGCTGTTCCTTTTCTAGCTTTTTAAGATGTAGGTTTACTTTGAACAATAGCCCTCGGTAAATGCTTACTGAGACAGGCACTGTGTGAAGTACTTGATGTAGAAGACTCTCATTTCACAATAACCCACATTTCTTTTTCTTTTTGTGGAGTGTTTCGTTTAAAGTCTATTTTATTGATAATGTTATTACAGCTGTCCCAATTTTTCCTCCTTTGCCCGCCTCTGCCCGGCAGCCCCACTCCCTGCAGCAATCCTCCGCCTTAGTTCAGGTCCATGGGTCGTGCATATAAGTAAGTTCTTTGGCTTCTCCATTTCCTAACATCCCTCTGTCTATTTTGCACCCACCAATTATGCTTTTTAATCCCTTCTCCCTTCGAGCTGATACTTTCGAATGATCTCCATACCTATGATTCTGTTTCTGGTCTGGTTGTTCGCTTAGTTGTGTTTTTTTTAGATTCAGTTGCTGATAGTTGTGAATTCGCTGCCTTTTTAATGTTCATAGTTTCGATTTTCTTTTTCTTAAATAAGTCCCTTTAACATGTCATTTAATAATGGCTTGGTGATGATGAACTCTTTTAGCTTTACCTTGTCTGGGAAGCACTTTATCTGCCCTTCAATTCTAAATGATAGCTTTGCTGGACAGAGTAATCTAAGTTGCAGGTCCTTGCTTTTCATCACTTTGAATACTTTTTGCCAGTCCTTTCTTGCCTGCAAGTTTCTTTTGAGAAATTAGCTGATAGTCTTATGGGAATTACTTTGTAAGTAACTCTGGTTTTCTCTTGCTGCTTTTAAGACTCTCTCTTTATCTTTGACCTTTGGCAATTTAATTATGATGTGCCTTGGTGCGGTCGTCTTTGGGTCCAATTTGTTTGGGACTCTCTGTGCTTCCTGGACTTGTATTTCTATTTCCTTTGGCAAATTAGGAAAGTTTGTTTTCATCATTTTTTCAAGTAAGTTTTATATTTCTTGTTCTTCCTCTTCTCCTTCTGGCATCCCTGTGATTCAGATGTTTTAGCACGTTAGGAAATGTTCCAGAGTCTTCTTATACTATCCTCCGTTTTTGTGACTTGTTTTTTAATTCTTGTTTCCTCTTTCTGTTCTGGTTGAATGTTTATTTCCTCCTTATATTCCAAATTGTTGATTTGAATCCTGTCTTCCTTCCCTTCACCGTTGGTTCCCTGTAGATATTTATTTCACTTAGTGTAACCTTAATTTCTTCCTTGACGTTGTTGCCGTACTCAGTGAGTTCTTTGAGCATCCTGATCACCTGTGTTTTGAACTCTTCATCTGAAAGGTTGGCTATCTCTGTTTTGTTTAGTTCTTTGTCTGCAGTTTTCTCATTTGGGCCCTATTTCTGTGTCTCCTCAGTTGGGCAGCCTCCTTTTGATTGTTTCTGTGTATTAGGTAGAGCTGCTTTGACTCCGTCTTAGAAAAGGCACCTGAAAATTGTGTGGGGTGGAGACCTAGGTAATCGCCAGGGCGGGACTACCCGCTTCACCACTTAGTGGCTCTGTGTGGGGGGAGGGCTCGGGGAGGGGACTGTGCTGCTGTCTGGCTTCTGGGGGTCTGCCCAGCACTCACCCCGTTTCTAGTCATTTCGCCCATACCCTGTATGCAACTGGCGTCCTTTCAACCGTTGCCCTGGCGAAGAGTCCTAGAGTGGGTGGGTTTGCGTATGTTTTAAGACTGTGCGGGCCCTTTAAATGGACTCTCCTGAAAATCCAGCAGTTTCTTTCACCACCCCAACCCTCACTGGTTTTTACAGCCAGAAGTTATGGGGATTTATCTTCCCAGCGCTGGAACCCTGGGCCGTGCCGTCTGGCCTGGGGCTGAGATCGCTGGCTCCCAAGCTATCCCTCCCAATCTTTATCCACCACACGTGACTGTGGGAACGCCTGTGCCCATTTCGCAGCCGCAGCCGCTACAGCTCCGCGCCACACCCGGTCTCCTCACATCTGTTTCTCCGCCCCTCCTACCAGTCTAGATGAATGTGGCTTCTTTAAATCCTTGGTTGCTGGACTTTCATACAGTTCGATTTTCTGAGTTCTGCACATTGTCTGTTTTGAGATTTAGTTGTAATTCTTTTCTGTGGTTGTGGGAGGCACAGAAGCGTATCTACCTTTGCCTCCACCTTGACCGGAACTCACGCCAACTTTCTTAATAAGCTCATTTCACAAGGTGGTGTTTGAAGCTCAGAGAGGTGAAGTCATTTGCTCAAGGACACAGAGTTCATCAGACTTTGGTCCATGTGGCTTCCTGACCACTTTCCTGCAACCCGCCTCCACGCTGGGCTTCCAGCGGGGAGGGTATTTTGGTTCCCTCAGCCTGCACCATACATTCTAGGGAGCTGCAGAAGCAGGAAATGTCAAAGACTACCCTCCTCGGACTCATCTGCAGCTCAGGTTCTGCGTAGGAGTGGGTTCTGCCTATCTTTACATTCATGAACCTCTGGAAGGCACAACTGGGGGGCAGCCATCTTCACCTTTTGACATCTGCTTGCGCAGTTCAGGTCACGAGGGTCTTTGCTTCATCAGGGCCCCGATGCCCAGTCTCCAGACCTCTAGGTGTCAAAGAGGCCCTTGGGGTCAAGGATGAAGTTTGAGTCTTACACTGCAGCCACAACCGTGTGGTCTTCAATTCAACAGGGCTAGAGGTAGCCTTAGAGGTGGCAGCTCCCTTGGTGGGTCAGGTCTGCTGTGACAAGGTGTCATTCCCAGAGGTCCAGTCCCTTGCCTGCTCCTCCGGCCCTTCCTACAGTTTTGTAAGCAACACACCCAATGCCCTGAGTTAATTCGTTCCCAACCGACGCAGGCTGCAGGCTTCTTTCCGACACCGGGTGCTAATTTACACCCCGGCATCAAGCACAAGGTCAGGCAGAGAGAGAGAGTGCGCGATAGATGTGTGTCGAATGAATGGATGGATGGATGGATGGAAGTAACAAGGAGTCCTGTGTGGTGGTCTGAGCAAGAGGATGGGAAATTCCGGGGTCAGAAAAATACGTGAACCCAGTGGCGCCTGCCTCAGGGGGTCATAACCCCAACCCTGCCCCGCAGCCCCGGCGACTCACAGGGGTGCTCGTGCTGTCCTTCCGCCGCTCCGGGATCTCTGCCTTGTTGGGGTTGTGGGCGCTGCTGACCATTGGGCTGGAGGGGGGCAGCCCTCGGCTCCCGCTGCCGGCGGCACTGCAGCTCGCCTTCCGGCCCGGCAGGCGCTCCTCCTTCAGCTCCGCCTCCCCCGTGCTGGTTGGGCTGCGCTTGGGGTGCAGCGGTGCAGGGGATGGGCCGCCTGGCAGAAGGAGGGGACAGTTAGGGCTGTCACCTGGAAAAGCCAGAACCTACTCTGGGTGATCCTGGGAACCTTAGAATTCCTCACATAGGCCACAGTCTCTGCGTAGGCCATTCTGACATCTGCCAAAATGACATGCGCACAATGTACCAACTGGGATGCCCCACATTAACGACACGATGCATACAGGTAGGGGGTGGACTGTGTCACTCTTTCTTTTTTAAGGCCCAAAGATTGGAAACTACCTAAATGCCCCTTCAGAGGGGGACAGCTAAATAAGTCAAGGTACTTCCACACAATAGAATGCTAAGCAGCCATAAAGAAGAATGAGAAAGCTCCTTGTGTAGTAATAGAGTAACCTTCAAGACACGCTGCAGAGGTCTACGGTGTGCAATCATTTATATAAAAACAGGAGGAAAGGGCATATTTATACATATCTGTGTATCTGTATCTCCATGTTTATATATGAATATTTCCAAAAGGCTATCATCTGTACCACACAGGAAAATATTATCTTTATAGTAAATTAATGTTGATATAGTATTTACATATTTTTTTTATCCTCACTCAAGGATATATTTACTGATTTTTTTAGAGAGGGAGAGACAGAAACAGTGATGTGAGAAACATCAATCAGTTGCCTACTGCATGCACCCCAAGTGGGGATCAAACCCACAACCTAGTGTCCTGACCAGGGATCGAACCCACAACCCTTTGGTGTATGGGATGATGCTCCAACCAGCTGAGCCACTTGGCCAGGGTATGTTAACACAGTATCTTTAAAAAATGTTTTATTTATTTTTAGAGAGAGGAGAAAGGAAGGAGAAAGAGAGGGAGAGAAACATCAATGTGTGGTTGCTTCTCATGGTCCCCTTACTGGGGACCTGGCCTGCAACCCAGGCATGTGCCCTGACTGGGAATGAAACCAGTGACCCTTCGGTTCGCAGGCTGGCATTCAATCCAATGAGCCACACCAGCCTGGGCTGTTAAGGCAGCATTTATATCTTTATATGTGTCTTTTCTTTCTCTTTTTCATATCTAACTCTATGTATTTATAAATGAAACCTCTTCAAGAGAATTGATATAAAACCAGTAACAGTGGCTATTTCCAAAGAGAACAGGTTTAAGGGGCTCGGAGAAATGTGTTGAATGAAAACTTTTTGTGCTTTCCAAGTTGGAAGCATGATGACTATTTTAATTTTAAAAACAAAACTAAAAAGGACTCACGGACATGGACAACAATGCGGTGACTGCTGGGGGCGGGGGGAAGGGGACCAAATGGTAATGGAAAGAAATACAATAAAGATGGAAACAAAACAAAGCAGATCTGTCCTCCTAGAACACTTGGGAAGTTACAGTTTTAGAACCAGGGGGGTAAACATGTTCTAGAATTTCAGGTAGTCAGGACTTCTGTTAAATCCTCAGGGACCTTAATGTCCCAAGTGCCAGAACCATAATGAGCTCTACTGTGACAGACACAGGCACTGCCAACGATCCTGGGCCCCGAATACCCTTGTGGCCCAGGTCTCCACGCGGGGGTTTGGAAGGCTCCAGGTTCTAACCACAGGATGTTGGAGTTACAAGTTTCGCAGGGACTTTCTGGGCCCATCCTGCTGTTTTTATGGGTGGCAGAGGAGACCCCGGGGGAGAGGAGCGGCCTGGCCGCCCACAGCTGTGCACTTCCTGCCCAGGCGGGGCTGGGCTTCCTGCCGCTCCTCTGCCGGGCCAGCGCCCCGCCCCGAGTACGGAGCTTCACCGCTGGCGACAGGCAGGGCCGTTCCTCCAGCTGCTGAACATAAGGGCAGAGGTGTATCACCCAGCAATTCCATCCCGAGGTACATGCCCAAGAGAAATGAAAACATATGCCCACAAAAAAAACCCTAACTGTACACATTCACAGCAGCATTATTCACAAGAGTCAAAAGGTGGGAACAGGCCAAATGTCCGTCAGCTGATGAATGGATAAACAAAGTGTGCTCTCTCCATGCAATGGGACATCGGGCCATTAAAAGGAATGGCGCGCTCATCCACGCTACAACGTGGATGAACCTTGAAAACGCAATCCTGGGTGAAAGAAGCCAGACACAAAGGCCATATATCGTATAATTCCATTTACACAAAACGGCCAGGAATAGAGAATAGGTTAATTGTCAGGAGCTGGCCGGACAGAGTGGAGGGGAGATTTTTCGGGCTAATGGAAATGTTCTAAAATTGACTGTGGTGACGGATACCCCACACCACTAATACGAATGAATTGCATACTTTGAATGGGTGAATTACATGATCTGTGAATGATTATCTTAATAAAGTTAAAAATAGTGCAGAGGGTTAACATCTGATGAGAGTGTAAGTAAGAGACCTGTTGGAAATTTCCATGCCTAACCTGTGGGGTGGCGGCGGTGGCGTCTACTTGTTTTCTGCAGGGGCTGAGAGAGCTTTCAGTTATAGAATGTGGGGTACAATTAGGTATCTGTACAGGCCCTTTCTTTTTCTTTTTTTAAAGATTTTATTTCCTTTTAGAGAGAGGTGAAGGGAAGGAGAAAAAAAGGGAGAGGAACACCAATGTGTGGTTGCCTCTCACATGCTCCCAACTGGGGACCTGGGCCACTGTCCCAGGGTGCCCTGCCTGGGAATCGAACCAGCGACCCCTTGGTTCACAGGCTGGCACTCAGTCCACTGAGCCACCAGCCAGGCCTGTACAATCCCTTTCCACAAGGAAGGGCCTCCCATCATTTCTATGTGGAGGAGCTGCCTGAGGGCAAGCTCTCAGCAGCCACTTTGTACAATGTGTCCTCCTGTTGTCCCAATCACAGTAGATGATCCCATCGGGACCCTGATATTAGATCTCTGTCCCTGACAAATGGACTAATGAGATTTCCAGGTACAACTTGAATTGGCTTTTCCAAAACAGATGTCAGGAACTGAGAGACTGTGAGAACAATAAGGTGAGATAAGTAAGAGAGAAAGGAAAAACCAGATGAGCAGAGAGGAAGCAAGACACAGTCTGCTCTGAATCTGGCTGGTTTTTTCCCGTTTCTCATCCTTCCCTGAGCCTGGCTGCGTATTCCTACCTCCAAGTTCCATGCAGTGTCCCTGCATCTTTATAAGAAACTCCTCTCTTTGATGCAATTGGCCCCAGCGGCTTGCAGCTGCTTGCTGGCCAGAGAACCCTGATGTAACGCAGGGCTGAGGCCTTGGGGCTGGGGTGGCGGCTGTGGGGTCACACTCACAGAAGTCGCTATGCCTGCGCTGGCGGTGGTAGGTGGAGGAGGAACTCCGTTGCCCTTTGCTGTGGCTGGTGCCTTTGCTGGAGCTTGTTCCATTGGTGGTGTCGCTGGGCGCCCGCACCCTTGCCAGGGCCAGCGCGGGAGCGCCCCGGTCCCCACCCTCCTGGAGGAGGACGACAGACGAGGAGCCTCAGCCCCACGCTCCCTCTGCCCCAGAAGCCCCTCCACCCCCGGCATCGCACACCCCAAATGCCCCGGCACCTTCTGACCTCAGTCTTCCTGCCCAGCAGGAGGTAGGTGGCGGTCACTTCGTTGTACTTCTGGCTGGTCAAGGCCTCTTTGATTTCTTCCCGTGTGTAGCCCATACCCACCATCACCTCTGAGAGGGGGGATGGAGAAGAGGCTCAGTCTCCCCAGGCCCTTCCCTCCCACGTCAGCAGCAATGCCTGGTCTTTGGCCTCTCCAGCACCTACCCATTCCCCCTTCTGCCAGGAGTACCCTGATTTTCCTTGGGAAAGGAAGGACATTCCTTTCCCACTCGGGCATGTTACCCAGGTCTGGCCAATCAGAGCATTCCATTCCCAGGCCAAACAGACTGGTTCAGAGGCAGCCAATGGGCACCAGCCTAGTGCTTTTCCGGGCACATTAGGAAGTGGCTCTCTCCTGATGAGGTGTCCAGGCCACTAGATTTGCTGTTGGCAGCCTGCTCCAGGTCAGGGGCAGGACGGCCTGGGAGAAAAGCCACCACCTAGGAGAGCCCCAACAACTGTCTCTGAGCACCTGGATCCAGCTGTGTCTGAGGGCCTTTTTAGTTAAGTAACTTATCACTGTTAGATTAAACCATATGAAATTGCTGGTATTGACAATTTTTAAGCTATAACAATGGCAATTCCATATGGTTCAACCTCCTTTTCTCTGGTTTCAGCCAGAATGGCCTGGGTCTTCTGTTACTTGCAGCCATGAAAGTCCGGACTGAGGCAGCCCCTTTGATAGGGCCTCAGTTTCCTCCGCTGCAAACTGGGGGGGTTACCGGACGGTCCCTAATGCTCTAGGCGCCAAGTGTTCGAAGGTTCTAGGCTAGAGGGATCAGGACCAAAGGAGGGGAGGATGAGGCACCTGCCAAGGTGGGGGTTTTCCCCAAACATGCAGATTACTGGTGACGTGTGCCCAAACTCTCTGGAGGAGATGTGTGACGTCTTTTTGTGTCCTACTGGTCAACGCTAGCACACATCAGTACTTACTACATGCCTAACGTAAAGTGCTGTATGTAGACGAACTCCTTCAACATTCCTACCAGCCCTCTAAGACAGGTTCTATGAATACGCCATTTTACAGATGAGGAAACAGGCCCACGGAGAAGGGGAAGCCACTAGCCTAGGGTCACACAGCTAGAAAGCAGCAGCACAGGGACAGGGACCTAGACTTCCCTGCTCTCCCTAACTGCCTTGCCAGCTCCTCTGAGGCACTAACCAGAGGGGTGGGTGCTGCGACGCTCCCACCCCCGGCTCCGCGGCCCGTGGCTCTGGGGCTGGGGCACCCGCGCCCCCTGTCCTCACCGATTCGCTTGGTGTCCCCGAAGTCCTCCTCTGGCTCTGTGTATGGCTTCAACTCCTCACCCTCATAGCCGATATTGATCCATTTGTCTTTCATGATTTGCTGCAGGAATCAGAGCAGGACAGGGAGCGGGGAGACAGGTGTCAGATGAAACCAGGAAAAATGCAGGTCCCCACGCCCAAGGTCTAACGCCCGAGAACTGAGGGCTTGCGGAGAGCGAGGGCCTCCTTGCCCCACCCACAGCCCCTGCTGGAGCCTCCAGATGCCTCGCCTCGGCCCTGCTCCCTGCATCATCTGGGTCCCCAGCACCCTGTAATTATCCTCAAAGCTCATTAGCTAATTACTGGCATGGTGGGGAGTGGGCGAAGCTGCTGGGTGGGGGGCGGTGTCAGGACAGACGGGGAGCCTTTTCCTGGGCTGCCCTCCGCACCTCCCAGCAGTGGGTCTTAGGCAGGTGGGTGGGGGAGGGGGAGAGAGAGGTGCGGGACAAGGAGGCCGCAATGGGAGGGGCACGGGCTGGAGGTTTACCTCGAGAGTACAGCGTTTAGCTGGGTTCAGCACCAAAAATCTCCGCAGGATGCTCTCACAGTCTGTTGACATGTAGAAAGGAACCCGGTACTTCCCTCTGAGGACTCGCTCCCGCAGCTCCTGAGGGGACGGGGTTACTGGGGGAGGGGTCTGCCCCGCTTCCCCACCCAGCACACGTTCATCTGTGTCCCAATCCCTGGACAGAAGAGACAGGAGCCCCGAGTCCCAGCCCTGCACGAGGTGGGCAAAATCCCACCACTCTCTCCTGACCGCAGTTCCCCATTTGTAAACTGGCAATACTGCACTAAACACAGCGATCTTCAAAATACATACACCAGTTTAAAACTAAGTAGCTTTTCAATCAGAGGAAACCTCCCAGGGAAAGTGAATCGTATAAACTGGGTGAGAGGTAAGAAAGTGAATTGTGTTCACCTCCGGGCCTCAGTCTCCTTATCTGTCAACACCTACCCCATGGGCCAGGGTGTAAGTGAGTTTAAAGAAGTCAGTCCCAGCGCGTGCCAGACCCGGAGCAAGCGCTATTTAAATGTTAGGTTTACAAGAGGGGAGGTGGGAGGGGGCGCCTGCCCACACCCCTCCCTCCCTCGTACCTCCCCCAGACGTGCCTGCCTTTCTGAAGAGCTATGAGACCCTGGCGGTCTCAACGGATAAGCTCTCCTTTATGCGTTGACCTTGCAAGAGAAAATAAAGTCCACGCTCTGTGGCCTGGAGGGCCAGGGAGAGCCCCCTCCCATCCTGAATTAGGAATGGAGGGAGAGAGAAGATGGAGGAGGGGTGGGTGAGGGCAGGGGGCCCTTGCGGCGAGGCCTGCGGGGACGGGGCTGGAGGAGGCGTGTGCCTGGGCAGCCTCCTGGGTCTGCAGATCGTTACGGCCCGAAGGGTCGTGAATATTTCATAATAACGAGTATCACTTTCAGAGCGCTCCCCCCAGCCTGCGGGCTTCTAAGTGCTTTGCGCATATCGCATCTGTGTTCACGACCATGTTGTGAGGCAGGGTTATTGTGCCATTTTCCAGGCGAGAAAACAGGCCTAGAGCAGTTAAGTCACTTGCCCTAGGACTGCACGGCCAGAAAGTGGGAGGGCCATGGCTGCTACCGCCAGAGCTGCCCCCGAGGGTGACACCCTAGCCCGATGCCAGGTCCCGATGACAGGCTTTGTAAACCCATTGTTGCCGTAAGTGGATACACTTTCTGTCCCCACCTATAGATGGGGGAACTGAGATTCCAAAAGAGACATAGCCAAGGTCATTCAGCAAGGAAACAACAGAGCCCAGAACTGGGACTTGTCTCTAGCTGTGAGTCTCCTTTGCCCAGCACGGTGACAAGTGCCTGGAGCCGGTGAGGTAACAATAGCCTGGGGCAGGTGAGGCGCTGCCCAGGTCCTCTGGAAAGGTCCCTTGGCTTCCTGCTTGGGGCTCAGCAAGATTATCCTGTGATAGGGAGCACTTTCCTGCCTCATCTCAGCAAGACCTCGGATTGCTGCTACCAGGCTGGCACCTGACAGTCCTCCCTGAGCACAGGGGGACACGGACACTCACGAGGGGCCTGCTGCTCGGCCGAGACCGCTGTGAAGAAGGCCCTCCCACCTCCTCGTCGCTCGGATCTCTGCTCTGATCGGCTGTCCTCAGCCAGGCCTTCCCTGACCTCCGACCACCCCTCGCAGGCCACATGGAGCAGGGCTGGGCATTTCTGCTATGGAATTCGCAGCCGGATCCCATGGCGAGGACACACGGGGCGAGCCGCTGAGCGAGGTTCTGCGAGCAAACTGGCCTGCACGTGACTACAGCACCGTGTCAGGAAGGACAAAGAAAGGCGGAGGAAGTGATCCAGATGAAAGGAGACTAAAGAGACAGGGCAAGCGAGTGCCGCGGGAGCCCGAGTGGATGCTGGAGCGGGAGAAAGAGAGCCACCAAGGATACTCCTGGGATGACCGGTGAAACCTGAGCACAGGCCGTGGGTTGGAGGCCAGGGCTGCACCGTTGCCGGATTTCCTGAGTGTGACGGTGGATGTGAAATTGCCCTGGTCTCGGGGGATACCTGCTCTATGTCGCCTTTTAGGGTTAAAGGACACTGTGTCCGCAACTAACTCCCAAACGTTCCATCAACGAGGATGATGATGATACCCCATGAGCATGTACAGATACAAGAGATGTGGCCAAATGCTGGCGACTGGCGCGTCGCCTCAACGGCGTCACTTTGTTCTCTGTTCTAGTCCTGCAACCTTCCTGTAGACCAGCGATGTTTCAGAATAAAAAGTTCAAAGAGAAAAGAAAAGCCACAACGCTAAAAACTCAGCCCACGCGTCCCACCCCTTCCATGGCTTCCCCCGTAGGGGCACTGGCCAGCGTCTGGAATAACATGTTGTGCTTATTTATCTGGTTTTCAGCCTGGCTCTGCTGCTGAAATGTGGGTCCACGAGGGCAGGGTGTTTTGTTTTAAGTAAACAATTCAATGGTTTTGGTAGATTCTGAGCCCTGCAATCATCACCACAGTCAATTTTAGATCATTTCATCACCCCCCAAAGAAACCCTCTTCTCTAACTTCCCCATCCTCCCCTAGACTTAGGCAAACACCAATCTGCTCCCCGTTTCTATGGATTTGCATACCCTGGACATTGTACTGAAGTGCAGTTATACAACACGTGGCCTTTTGTGACTGGCTTTTCCCACTCAGCATGTTTTCGAGGAGGCCCACGGTGTGGCGCGTGTGAAGGCCGGGGTTCCTGCCTTTCTTGCTCACACAGTATAGGCAAAACCTAAAACAGCCTGACCCACGGACGCTGCGCTGGGATTTGAACCCCAGCTCGCCAGCTGCAAAGCCCACAATCTGAACCCCGACACAGCTTAGTCCACCTGGGCTGGCCCACAGTCCCTGCCTCAACATCCATCTTCATATGCCCTTAGGCCAGCCCGGCCCCTCTACACAGGAGGTGAATTAGGGCGGAGGCTCAGAGAGGCCCCGCCCCCAAGGACAGTAGACCCCACGCCAGCCCCGCCCAGCACCTTGAGGTTGTGCCCGTCGAAGGGCAGGGAGCCGCTGACGAGGGTGTACAGGATGACGCCCAGGCTCCAGATGTCCACCTCCGGCCCATCATACTTCTTGCCCTGGAACAGCTCCGGGGCGGCGTACGGGGGGCTCCCGCAGAACGTGTCCAGCTTCGAGCCCAGCGTGAACTCATTGCTGAAGCCAAAGTCGGCGATCTTGATGTTGGCCTCGGCGTCCAGCAAGAGGTTCTCGGCCTGGCAGGGAGGGAGAGGGCAGAGGGTGGACGCGTGTGCTGGACGGGAGCACAGGCTGGAGCTGGCCAACCTGGACTCACTGTGGCCCGGTCCCTTACTCCCTGTGACCCCGGGTAGTGACTTTACCTCTCTGGGCCTTGCTTTCCTCATCCATTGAATGGGGATAATCGCAGTCCCTACTTCACGGGGCTGTTAGAGAACTGTTAAGTTAAGTTGTATAAAAGGCCTATATTCTGCACCCATTAAGCACCTTGTTATGCACCTTGTTATACAAGGTGAGCTCTTGTTACCCCACGTGGTCTGCACAGTTGCTGTCCTCAGTCCATCTCCTGTCCTCTGAGCCTCAGTTTACCCAGCAGAAAAAAAATGAGGACTGACTGCTCAAGACCCATTAAAGGGAAAACAATCATTTTATCCAAAACTTATTACGCACCTACTATGTGCCGGGCTTCATGGACTATCATTTATTTTATGAGTGGCGCATAACACGGGGTTAAGAGAACAGATTCTGGGAAGATCTCCGCGTCAAATCCCAGCTCCACCACTCATTCTCTTGCCACTGAGGGTGCGTTACCGGACTTCTTTGTGCCTCAGTTTCCCTATATGTAAGCTGAGGGTAATCACAGCACCTGCCTTGTAGATGGTTGTGGGGTGAAGCGCGAAGCACCTACCACAGTGTGTGGGACGACATGGTGAGCACTCAATACGTTTTTTGTATTAAGGTCTGCCTTTGGTGGCACATGTTCCTGTAATCGCCACTTCACAGGTGAGGAGACCGAGGCTCAGGGAGGCCGCCTCACCTCCACAGCAAGAAAATGGCAGAACTGGAACCCAAAGGAGGTCCGGCCTCCCCAAGCGGGAGCATGGAAGGAGCCTCAGCACCCTGCCTCTCCCAGCTTTGTGACTAGAACTCAACGCACGTATCTACCCTTCAAAACACTGCCCACGTGGGGCCCGTCCCAAGCACGGCCCTTCCCTAGCCCGAGCCACCGGAACCCCTGGCTTCCTCGGTCTCTCTAGCTCCTGCTGAATTTGGGTACCACTTTCCCCCACCTCTGACTCAACACGGGGATAAAATCCACAAAGACACATCCTTCAGACAGACCTCCCCCAAACCTCAATCTGGCTCAGGGATGACATCTGTGGCATTTGAGGATCCACAGTCCAGCCCCGACCCCTCATCTGGCTTGCTCCCTGGTGCACTAGCCAGATCCTGAAATCCCTCTTAAGACACTTCCAGGACCCTCCACCAGGGGGCGTGCCTCCTCCAGGTTGCCCTTCACAATTGATGTGACCCTTACAGGGCGCCTCGGAGGTGCTTCCTCAGGGGGTAGTGTGGGGATGTCAGGGCAGCACAGACGGAGAGGGTGTTTAGAAATTTCTACAGCCATTTGACAGGGCATTTTTATGTTTTCTGAATCTAATTTACTTTTAAAAATGTGGCTTGTATTTTGCACATCTTTTTTCATGTCATTATTATTGCACTTTACGAAAGTACCTGTCCACACCGGACTGGGAATTGAAAACACTAAAACAAAACTGGTCCCTCACTGAAGAACCTTGAGAAGCACTTCCTTAATGCACGGGGCCTGGCACCTAGTAGGTGCTCAAGAAATCACAGGCAAGACAATTTGATTTGGGCCAGACAGACGTTTTCTCTCTCTGGTCCAGAAGTCCTGAGATGTGAGGTTCTCTCCCGCTGGGAGGTGTGGACCGGGGACCTGGGACATGGAGCTCCTCGAGGGGGCTGTCCCTGCTCCGCTGGGCCAGGCAGCGGGGCCCAGGCCCAGCGAGTCCCTTCCCTGATGGGCGCTAGCCTCGAGGGTTCTCACACAAAGGTCCTGCTCGCATTCTGAGATGCCGGGTCTCAGACCCTGCAGGTGTCAATTCTCAAAGACTCTTGAATGTTCTCCAGTCTGAGAGACACTGAGGCCCCGGAGGCTCTGAGTGACAAACTCTATCGCATCCCAGTGTCCTTGTCCAGCACACGTGTAAATGCCAGGCGCTGCAGACACTTTGTTTCTTCCCCTTTGTTCGCTATGGATCCCCACCCCCACTCACTCGTCTGATGGCCTTGCTTTTGCCACAAAAGGCCTGGGAAAAAGTCAAAGGGCCCCGGACTCCGAGGGAGGAGCAGGCAGAGAAAAGCAGGGAGGTGGTAGAGGGTACAGAGGAGCCTCGAGGGGCCGGAGCGGGGCTCAGCTGGGGGCTCACAGCGGGGTCGGGGGGCTCACCTTCAGGTCCCTGTGGACAATGTTTTTCTGGTGACAGTAGTGCACAGCCGATACAATCTGGGGAGGAGGAGGGAAGGTCAATTACTTGTGGCCCCCAAACCCCTCAGCCTTCCTCAGAGACCCCGTGAGCGCACTCACAGCCAAGGCCCTGGACCCCAGGCCTCCTCTAGGCACCGGCCAAGATGCCGGGGCCTCTCGCACTGATTTGGTCACAGCAGAAAATGCTGTGGGACCTACACAGTCGCTCACCCTCACTCAGACACCCTCACAACCAGATTTTAGGATGCCCTCCCGGCAGAGACATTGGCACCAAGGCACAAGGACAAGCCCCCTCCTGACTTTCACATCTGGAAACACGCATGAAAATGTCGTGTACTAGTAGGCGGCCCCGTGGCCCCAACACTCTAGGGCGGAAGCCCCCCACACCCCGCTCAGCTGCGTCGGGGCTGCTGGGCAGTCACGGGCGGGCGCCCTTACGCAGATCCTCCTACCCATCAAACCCTCCTCCCTGCTGAACGCCTAGCGACAGGGGCGCCCTCACACCTGCGCGCTTTTGTCCCAATACTTGAACACCCTCACGCCTGCATGACCCTCACGTACACCTCACTGCCACGTACGCAGACAGCGACATACCGTCTTATCCACCTGGACATCCTAGTAGCACACACACTTGTCCACCAACCTCTACACCCATCCCTGGGCCCCTCCCACACTCACACCTGTGCATCCTCCCTGCCACACATCTGCAACCCCACGCCCTCCGACCCACACACCTGGGCACCCAGGCACTGCATGGCCTCTGACCCACAAACTCACACCCACACCACGGGCACCCCCCATACACTCAGGCTGCCATACACACTTTTACCCACCCACGGGCACACCTGTGTACCTGGGCACCCACAGATCTTCGAATCCCCACTCCTACACTCACATCTCAGCACCTTGGCACCTCCAGGCCCCCTTAGCCACACTCCGACACACCGGGCGCACCCTTGCACCCACATATCTGACACCTGCACACCCGGGCACTGTCCTGACTCTCACCCACTGAACTGGGCACCCATACACCGACATCTGGGTATCTCACACCTGGGCATCTGCACACTCATGGACACCCAACTCCCGCTCCACCCCCGCCCCGATTTAAGCCACGCCCCCAGTCACTGGCAGATCCAGCGCCCCGCCTGGCATTTAAGGCACCATTTAAGGCACCGCTAGCAATCAGGCACCCCTCCTATCCCCGCCCACGGCCACAACCCTAACCTGTCGGAACTTGGCTCGAGCTTCCTTCTCCTTCATGCGGCCGTGTGACACGAGGTAGTCAAATACTTCTCCTGCAGGGCAGAGGCGAAGGGGGTGAGGGTGGGGCACGGGGGTGGGGTGGGGTGGGGGGTGTGCAGCAGCAGGGTGGGTGGGGGCGGGGCCTCACCAGCACTTGCATATTCCATCACTAGGTACAGCGTCTTCTCGGTCTCGATCACCTCGAAGAGCTTCACTGCAATGGGTGCGGGGGGCGGTTATGGAGGAAGAGACAGACCCTTCCCAGCCTCCACTCACACTCAATAACCATGTGGATGTGCTGAACCATGATACCCCTTACTCAAGAACACTCAATGGCTCCCTGCTGATGGCCAGATTTTCCACTCCTCAGCCCCAGTTCACAACCTTTTCTATTTTCTCTGTCAGAAGCATGCCAGCTCAGCTCCCTGGGGCCAAGGATGCTGGGTCCCCAGCATCTGGCACATAGTGGCCACTCAATAAATATTTACTGAGCAAACCAAGGATGGATAAATGGTGCGGCCACATCCAGGCCGGGCCAAATCCCGCTTCTGTCCGTAAAGAGCCTTCTCTCTCTCCTCTGCGTGATGATAATGACAGCGACAAAGGTCGCTACTGACGACAATAATCAGCCTGGCTCCCACGGCTTATCTCTGAACTAAGTGTTTTGCATGCACGATCTTATCCAAGGCCCACGATGACCTTGATGTAGGCCCTCTTATCACCCCTCCTCCAGAGGAGGAAACTGACGCTCAGAGAGGTTAAGTGACTTGGCCAAGGCCACAGAGCCCGTAAGCGGAGATACCGCTGCAAGAAAAACAGGTCTTTCTAACGATTATAACCCCCAGTTCTCCTGTGCCCTGACCCTCTCCTTCCCCGTGTTCCCTGGTGGCAGCCTCTGAACCCACACCCTTCCCCTCCTCACCGATGTTGGGGTGGTTTAGGCCCTTCATGATGCGAACTTCTCGGAACAGCTAGAAGAAGGGAAGGAAGATGAGGGTGGCTAGTTTTGAGTACCCCCTCCCAGCCTTACTCCAACACTCTCCCTCCCCCTGGCCTCACTTTCTGCAGGCTGCTGGGGTTCAGCTGAGTTTTGTCGATGATCTTGATGGCGACCTGGAGGCAAAAGAAGGGAGGGGAGAAAGGTCAAGGTACCCCAACTCAGATCACCTGCAATGTCCTCGTTCACCTTCTCACAGAAAACCCTCAGCCTGGGCCATTCCCAGTGAATGGGGATCTGGGCCTCAGGACCTTTGCACATGCTGTTCCCACCATGTCCAGGGTTACCCTTACTTTCATAAGGAAATAGTCCCTATTCTGCAGTGGGGCCTGGGTGGAGCTGCTCCAGGGGCCTGTGTGAGTGTGGGAGAGTGACCGCGACCTTGAGGGGGCCCTTTGTGAGGGCATCTCAGACCATCCACCCACCACGTCAGTTTTAAAGGCACAAACTATGGAAAAACAAACAATAACTAGCTAACACTTACTGACCAGTCCCATACAAACAATAACTCTTTCAACCCTCACAACACCCCTATGAGATGGGTGCTAAGGATTATTCCTATTTTACCACTGGGGAAACTGAGGCACTGGGTCATTCAGTTACTTGGCCAAGGTTATGTGGCTAGTAAGTCTGTGGCCTGGGATCTGAACTTATGCAGCCTGATGAAGTCTACCCCTTAAACACTTACAACTTGAAAATATATATAGTTTTAAAAGAGCTTTGAGGTAGTCATTGGGGGCAGGGGATCAGAATGTTATTGAATTCTCCTTATAGTTACCCTGTAGTTAGGATTTTATTTTGAATTACACCGGGGGTAGAGCACTGTAAGTTTTTCCATAGTGGAGGGGCCTTTAAGTCTTAATCCTGCTTTAAGTCTATAGTTTTTACAAAGGGTTTGGGGGCCACCCCCAACCACTACCCCAAGACCCACTGGATTAGAATTCTTCCCCTGGGAGGTCCTGTTCCCTTAGAAGCCAGTCCTCTCAGAAACCCCTGGAATCCCGTTCAAGATGCACATGAAGGGAATGACGTGTTCTTTGTGGGGGAGGGGGTCCCTTGGCTTTTCTCATATTCTCACGAATGGGTTTTTAATTCTCTCAAGCACTTTGCATGCCAGTATCGAGGCGATCATATGGTTTCTCTCCTTGAATCTGTGACTGTGGCGAAATACAAGAATAAATTGTGAATCTGCAAAGAACTGTGCATTCCTGGGATAAGCCCAGCTTCGTTATCACATGGCTTGCTCTGATTTTTGTATCAACACTCACACATAAGGCTAGCCCATGAACTTACTTCCTATCTGCCTCTGCGGCCTTTGTCAAACTAGCACCTAACATCAGTTGGGCAGTGGAACCATTTTCTTCAGTCTCTGGAAGGACCAGCACAAAATGGGAATGTTTGGCAGGATTTGCCCATAAAACCACTGGGGCCTGGTGTCTTGTGTGTGTGCAGCGCAGACTGTGTACGGATAGGAGGGGGTTCATCCCAGGCAGGAAAACTCCTGTCATTTGCTCTAAAACTGAAGGGGGTGCAGAGGAGTCAGGAACCCACCCACCATCCCCTTTCCTGTTCAGTGTGACTGAGGGGCATCACGCCACGGTTCTTTGCGCAGGCCCTGCTGCGATAACGTTGCCACGCTCAGGACACGTGCCCACTCTGCAGGGGGAGGCAGGGCAAGTGTGTCATTGAGAGCGCCAGCGAACCCCGTGTTCTCCAGACCGCGGAAGACGTGGCGGAACCAAAGCCCCCCACTGGCACGGGGGCCGGCCCGGCTGAGCCATAATAGCTACACACATTCTTAAAAACACAGCACACAGCTCTGCCTGGGCTTCGAGGGTTCCTGACAATTTCGAGGATGCCTGATACGGGTGCTCGTCTCCTCCTTGGGCTGTTCTGGAAACATCTCAGCCGTTCTGATCTGTCCCAGAGAGGGCCAAGCCCACTGCGCCCCACCACCCACAAAGCGCCGGTGTGGCAGGACTTGGCCCCGAGCCGCACTCATTCCCCTACTCACCTCCCGGCCGGTGAGGATGTGCCGGGCCAGCTTGACTTTGGCAAAGTTGCCCTTCCCGATGGTCCTCAGCAGGCGGTAGTTGCCCACGTGGGGCTGCTCCTCGGGACAGGAGGCAATGGAGTTCCGGCAGCGGGCACCCAGGGAGCGGCTGGACCAGGATGGTCCCTTGTCCGAGGAGCGGCCACTGCCCAAGGTGCCATGCTGCGTGGGGGAGACAAAGCGTGAGCAGCAGGCGGTGCCCGGCCGACCTGCCTTCAGGGCGACCCAGCGCGGGAGTGGTTAACTCCGGCCATGGCGGCTTTTCAAGCCCAAGCCAGGGAGAAGCAAGATGCCTTTGGGTCTCCCATCTCTCTTTACAAAAAGACGCCTCCAAGAACAAAAACTCTGGGTCCCGGCCAACTCTGCAGCATCCAGGTCCCCAGACGCTAGGTCTCCTCTTTAGCCTTCCCTGTAGCCAGTCTACCCACAGCTTCCTTTTCTAATTCCTGGGATCTCCATCAGCTCCGTAATACGCTCTTCCAAACGCTGCAGCCGTCAGCCCCAGTCCACGCTGACCCCGGCCAGGCCTCCGCACTCCGCCCCACCCCGCGCTGCCTCCGGCATCCTGGTCTCTCTATCACTGTCCCCATTCTAGCCCCCAAATTCTATTCCAAACCCAAACGTTAATACTGTTATTTTATTTCTGGTTTAGGGCCCCTAACAATTTCTTCTGATTCCAAATTCAACTCCAGTCACCGACAGTCTTTCGTTTTGCCCTGACATCGTTCTAGCCCCACTGTTACCTTCCTTGAAAACATTCCTGCTCCCTCGCTTGCCCCTTGCCCCCACCCCCCTGCAAAACACCGTGTCTCCACGCGAGCCCTGACCCCGTCTCCACCGCCATCACTGCCGTTTGTCCCCAGTGTTCTGTTCCTGCCATCCTGTCTCTCTCCCCTGCAGGTCACCTGCCTGCTCCAGGCTGCCCTGTCCTGATTGTGAGCCTCAGGGACTGTGCCTCCCTTTCAGGCCTGGGGCCCAGGGTGCGGGCGACAGAGGCAGCCACAGGCCCCAGCCAGGACGTCTCCGCTCAGACCCTGTGCCCTGCCCAGGAAGCCGCAGAAGAGAGGACAGGTAGGCGACGAGCTGAGAGGCAGGCGGCGGGATGAGGGCTAGGGACTGCTCCTTGCAGGGAGTCTTCAGGCTACTTAACAGGGATGATGACCAGTATTTAATGAGTGCCGGCCAATAACGCATCACCATCCCCATTTTACATGGAGGGAAACTGAGGCCCAGAGCCAGGATCCGAGCCCGGCGTTTCCCTCCGAGCTGAAGTCCTTCGTTACCACCGCACCCCAGTGTCTCACACTGCCACCCTGTTTTTATGGCACAGCTTTCACTAGGGGCCAAGTCCTGGGCCAATACACACACCGTTTACATTTAATTCCCGGAGCTCAGGAGGGTGGCACTGCATCCTCATGTTCCAGAGGAAAAACTGAGGCTTGAGGACAGAAGGTACCTTGTCAAGGTCACACGAGAAGCAGAAATATAATGATCTGAACACAGGGCGGAAGAACCACCCCTGCTGAAGCCCTGGCCTCCGATGGGCGTCCAGTTACGACCCGAACCCTCCACACAGGGACCCCAAGGCCGAGGTGGAGTCGGTACCTTGCCCAAGGTCACAGGGCAGGGGGAGCAGCGCACCTGGGATTCAAACCTGGGCCTGCAGACTCCTGGATGCTGAGCTCTTCCCCACATTCCACTGGGCTGCTCACAACCCCGGGGCCTCCTGGGGCAGGGGGGCGGGGGGGGGGGAAGGGAAGTGGCGATTCTGGCAGATAAGGCCCCTGATCCCCACGGAGATAGCGGCTTGGAGAAGAATCCCCATCAGGTGGCACCAGGGGAGCCAACTGGGGGTGGGCTGGCACCCACTGAAGGCAGCGTGGCTGAGGAGCCCGTGCAAGGGGCAGCTGGGGCAGTGGGTGACAAAGCCCCCAGGGGCCGGGGGCGGGAGCTAAAATTGGCCGGCACCACCAGCTGGCCCAGCTCCCTCCCGCCGGCTGGCGCCCCAACACCAGGCCTGTTGCTAGGGAACCTCCAGAGAGGCTGGGGGTGGGGGGCCTGGAACTTGGGGTGGGGTAGCATGACCCCACATGGCTATCACCATGGTAACCAGGTAGCAGTAGAGGGGGTGCAACTTCAGATTCCAGAGGGAGAGAGGTGACCTCAGCCAGAACTGATGAGCAGGTCTTACACACTGGAGTTGGGAGGGGAGGAGGGAAGGGGATCAGACCGCCCCAGGTCCCCACTCTGCACTAATCTGGACAACAAAAGGAGGAAGGGCTCATGTGAGTCCAGTGTCACAGATGAGTAAATTGAGGTTCAGAGAGGTGAGGTCACTTCCCTGAGGTCACACCGCTAGGGAAGGATAGAAACTAGATTTAATCCCTGCTTATCTGAATAATCAAAGTAATAACAATAATTAATAAGAGCAATGACAACATGGCTGACCCCGTGCATCTCACTCCCATAATCTCCTTGGCTCCTGAAAACATCCCTAACAGGGAGGTACTATGACCAACCCCACACAGAGATGAAGCGAGGCTCCGAGCAGGGAGTGGATCTGTAAGTTCATGCAACAACTGTGACAGCCCTCGGTGGAGAATGCACGGCCATCTGACTCATGCCCACAGCCACCACAGTGCGAACATGTGCAGAGCGCATCCTGTGTGCCCGGCGTCGCCCGTATCATCCCAAGTAATCCTCCGCGGGACTCCAGGGATGATCCCCACTTTCCAGGGCAGGCAACTGAGTCTCAAACAGGGAGAGCAAGTAGTCTGAGGACGCGGCGCAAACCGGCTGGCAGGGCCGGCATGTGAACTCAGGCCTGTGGGCGCTCTGGTACTTTTCGTAGTGACTGGAAGGGTGGGTGGGAGAAGGAGTATCTCATCAGAGACCCCAGATCGGTCGGGCCTGTGGCGGTGGTGGTGGGGGGTCTCTGTGAGGGAGGGTCCTGCAAGATGAAGGGGCCGAGATAAATCTCTCCGGTGGAGATCTGGGATGAGAGGGGGCTCGGGGGGAGCAGGGACCTGGCACAAGGCCCGGTGGAAAGGGACAAAGGCCCCATCTGGGGAGGAGTCTGGTACTGGCTGGTGGGTCTTTAGAAGCACTGAGAGCAATCAGAAACCAGGGAAATGGGAGGGAGGGTCTCCCCAGGAGTGTTCTGGCCTGCGGTGCAGGGACAGGGAGCCTGGGGATAATAGGAGCGGTCCAGGCCACGCGTCAGTGGAAGTCAGGGGTCAATGATCCCTGGGCCTGGGGCCTAGGGCTTGGGGGAATTCCTAGAAGTCAAAGGAGGGGCTTTGTAGGAGCAGCCCTTGGAACCAGAGAGAGGTCTGCGGCCTGCAGGTCTGGGGCAAGGGGCTTCCTGGGCAAGAGGCAGCCCAGAGGAATAAAGGCTGAGCCTGCGGGGGCCAAGGGGCCTAGAAACTTGGGCAGGAAGGAGGCTTCCAGAAGACAGGAGAAAAGGGCTGAGAGCCAAGGCAAGGCCAGAGGCTTGGAGTCCAGGAGCCTTCTGGAAGGAGGATCTGGGGTCAGGCCGTGTGAGCTGGGGAAGACCTCTGAAGATGAGGAGGGGGCTTCCCTGGGAGGCCAGGCCTTCGCCAGGAAGAGGGAGGCCCCAAGGCAGGAGATGGGATAGGGTCCTGGAGATCCAGGGGCAGAGACAGTGTCTTGTAGGAAGGGCCTGGACAAGGAGGGGATCAAGGTGTTGAGGGCTTGGGGAGGGGGCTTGCCTGAAGCTGAGCTGACACAGGGAGGATGCAGCCTGGACCTGGAGTCAGGCTGGTCCAGGGCCTAGAAATCCCAGACTGGGCTGGGGGCCTGGAAGTTGGAGACCAAGGCTTCCTGGGAGAGGAAGAGACCAGAGAGGGTCCAGTACCGTCTGGGGGACCTGGGGTGCTGGGAATCCAGGAACAGGGCTGCCTGGAAGACGGGGCCCAGGCCTGGGAGTGGAGAGACCTTGAACAAGATGGAAAGGGCCCTGGGCCAGGGAAAGGTGGAAACGGGCTTCCTGTGAGGGGGTGCCCACCGGAGCCGGAGAGGCGGAGGGCTGGGAATGAGAGGAGGGGGGCTCCTGGGGAGCCTGGCACCCAGATCCGGCCGGAAAAGCTGGAGCCAGAGACAGGACTGGGCCAGGCCTTCCTGCGAGAGGACCGGGGCTGGGCCTGGGGGTCAGGAGCCCTGCAAATCCGGGAGGGGGCCCATGGTCGCAGGAGGGCGGCCTGAAGGGGAAGGGGCTAAAGAGCACACCGGGAAGGGAGGGGCCCAGGAAGGCAGGGGAGGGGGCTTCCTGGAGGGAAGAGCCCCGAGCGGAAGCGGTCTGCACAGGGACTAAAGAGGGGTCCCGAGAGAGAGGCGCCCCCGGGGGTCGGGCTGGCTGAGGAGTGGGGGAGGGTCGGAAGTCCTGGAAGTCCGCGCGGGGGTCGGGCGGTGGCGGGCCGGGCTGGGCCCGGGAAATGAGGGCAGGGCTCACGCAGCAAGGGGCACGGCGGGTCCAGGGGCTCGGCGGCCAGACCCGGCCGGGGCTCCCCCAGGGGCCGGGCCCTACTCACCGTGTCCGAGTTCCGATCGTTGCCCGGGGCCAGCGCCGTCCGCGAAGACATTTTCTCCGGGTCCCGGGGGACTGGGCGGCCGGGTGGGGGGGGACAGGGGTGCCGGGGTCCCCTCTTCCCCTCCCCCCCCGCCGGCCTGGGGACGCGAGCTCAAAAGCTGGGTGCCGTGAACACCCGGGTTCACGCCGCGGGAGAGGGGGCAGGGAGGGGGAGGGAAGGGGACACTGAGGGTGCTAGTGGCCCCGCGCAGTGGGGGCCCGGGGCGCCATAGCGGCGGCCGGCGGCGGGCAGGCGGGCGGGCGGGCGGGGGCCGGGGAGGGGGCGCGGAGCCGGCCCGGGCGGCGGCGGAGGGAGGCGGCAGAGGGGCCGGGAAGGAAGGGACGTCAGGGGGAGGGGCGGGCAGGGCGGGGCCGCCGAGACCCCGCCCCTGCCGCCGGCCCTTAAAGGCGCAGCCCGGGGCGGGCCGGGGGCTTCGGGGGCGGAGGCAGGTTCCAGCGCGTCGGTGGTTTGCATGTTCTCACAGGAGCGTGGAGACTCACCGGAAGAGAAAGCGAGGGAGACGCCAAGGCAGAGCGCCAGAGACGCGGAGAGACAAAAAAGAAAGAGGGTGAAACGTAGGGAAAGGGACAGACTCATACAAAGAGACAGAGATGCGAAAAGAACAGAGACACAGAGAGAGAGACAAAGACAAGAGACTCGCACGGAGAAAGAGGGGGAGACAGAGACAAAGATGCACACAGAGACGCAAAGACCTGTGAAGGAACGGAGATACAGAGAAAGGGCAGAAAAGCTCCCAGGGGCAAGAGCCAGGCAGAGGGCACTGTTCACCTTCTCCCGCCCCCGTCATGGGGCCCAGGAAGCTCTTGGGGACACAGGGCTAAGGGTGCGGGAGGGATGGCGTTCTAGGCGGAGCCACTGCAGAGGAGTGACCTTCCACCTCCTAGAAAGCTCCGGACCACAAGGTTGTGGGCTGCAGTCTCTTGGCCTCCGCACCCCAGCCAGGGTCTGAGGACTCTCTCTGTCCAGCGGTGTCATTCAGGGCAGGCATTTGCCCGTTTCAGGCCCCAGTTTCCAGTCTATAAAGTGAGGTGGAGGATCAGCACGTTGCCTTCCTGGCAGGGCTGAAGCAGCTGTAAAGGATGGACTGAGGCCAGATGGGGCAAGGGCTTCGCTTAGGTCACATAGTCCTGTCAGGACCACCCATGACCTCTAGACCAGAGCGGGATGAAAGAAGAAGGGGCATGGCATGGTCCTGGCCCCAGAATCACATAGCCCTTGGTTGGGGTCCATGCCCTGTTCCTGACCATCTTCTTGAGCCTCAGTTTCCCTTTCTAAAAGTGGGTGTGATGATAACAGTGGTATGATGGAGCGGGCTCAAGAGAGCTGTTAGTCTCAGGAATTTGGGAACTGTTGTTAAACAGCTATTATTAAAAATTAAATTATGCAGCCCTGACTGGTGCGGCTCAGCTGGTTGGGCATCGTCTGGCAAAGTGAAATGTTGCCAGTTCGATTCCTCGTCAGGGCACATGACTGGGTTGCAGGTTTGGCCTTCAGATGGGGCATGTATGAGAGGCAACCGATCCATGTTTTCATCTCACATCAATGTTTCTGTCCCTCTCTTTCTCCCTCCGTTCCCCTCTCTCTAAAAATAAATAAAATCCTTTAAAGATTAAATTATGAAAACATACAATTAAATACATTATATTAAAACAAAGGTAATAGCCCTGTCTCGTGTGGCTCAGTGGATTGAACGCCGACCTGTGAACCAGAGGGTCACAGTTTCGATTCCCAGTCAGGGCACAGGCCTGCGTTGCAGGCCAGGTCCCCAATGGGGAGCTTGCAAGAGGCAACCACACATTGATGTTTCTCTCCCCATCTTTCTCCCTCCCTTCCTCTCTGTCTAAAAATAAATAAATAAAATCCTTTTTTAAAAAAAAGGTAATAGATACTCATCACATCCTAATTATTTTACTATTATCTGTGATCCTGAGGTCATTTACATTTATTAGATCTGCATAGTGAAACTGCTGTTAATGGGCTACTGAGCATCTCTTCCCCCATCCCCGCTCCCCCCAAAATAAACACTTTTAGTGACATCACCTTGACATTAGCCATGGTGGGAACATTTACACCATGGAACCTGGCAAATGCTACAAACTGAGGCCCCCCATCATCACCCTCTAGAGAGCTGGTTGTTAAACCTTTACCAGGGCATCCCTGGTAGATACAATCAGCTACATAGACTCACAGAGGCTTCCTCTTTGCCAGGCTGTGAGGGCTTTGTCCTTTCTGCACCCCACGAGGTTGAACCATCATTATGAACCTCACTCACAGATGAAGAGCAGAGGCCCAAAGGAGAAAAATCACATGCTCATCGCATAGCTGGTCTGCGGCAGGGCCGGGATTTGGACCCAAGTGCCTCCAAATTCCAGAACTTGGGCTCTTAACGGCTATGATTACTGGTCTCCAAATACTAATTGTAGCAACCTCAGTCTGCAATAAATTAATGAGACTATATAAGTGCTTCCCATGGGAACCGATTAGAACTTCAGAAGTGAGTGGCATTACTATTATTATGCAGCAAATGGGGCTTTCAGGGTCTCAAGGATAGTGGGCAGCAGAGAGGGAAGGGTTCAGGGTGGTTTAGAAACTTTGAGATCCCAAGGGCTCTGCTGGGTGAGGGTTGGGGTCTTGGGGATGGGTTGGGGAAGCTGAATCACCTCTAATCCCTTCACAGATCTGGCACAGAGAGCTGCAGTTCTCTCATGCACCACACGGGGGCAGAAGATCACCTCCGTACACCTGGAAGGTCCCACATTGGCTCTGAGTCCCAGTACTGTCCCCACTCCATTTCCCAGATGAGGGGACTGAAGCTTAAAAAAGAGGAGGCTACAATATGGATGAAAACAGTATGAGTAATGAAAGAAGCCCAACACATAAATACCCCTTATTGTATGATTCCATTTAATGGGGTGGCCACAATGGGTCAATATATGGGGCCAGGAGGAGAGGGGAATGGACAATGACAGTTAATGGTGATAGAAAGGTTCGTTTTTATTCTTATTTTATTGATTTTAGAAGGGGAAAGAGATAGTGGAGAGAGGAATAAGACATCAATTTGTTGTTCCAATGATTTCTGTGTTCATTGGTTGATTTTTGTATGTGCCCTGACAGAGGATCGAACCCCCAACCTTGGTGTAGAGGGACAATGCTCTGACCAACAGAGCTACCAGACCAGAGCACAAGGGTGACTTTTGGGGATGATGAAAATGTTCCGAAATTAGATCGCGGTGATGGTTGCTGCAGCTGTATGAATATATTAAATACCAATGAAGTGGACACTTTAGAGAGTTGACTTGTATGTGAATTGTATCTTAATAAAAATTAAGTTTCAAAAAATGAGAGGGAGATGTGACAGTGGGTACAGCCCCTAACAGGCCACTGGGTCCCACCCCAGGCCACCTTCTGATTACCACAGGTCCACGCTGACTGAGGGGGGAGGTAGTCTACCCCTCCTTCCCTCTTGACCAACCAAACAGCCCGTCTTCCAACGCCCAGTGTCTGGCAAACCCAGGCGCTGGACAGAGGCCTTCAGACCTTGGAATCTGAACCCCCGGCCTGCGTCTCCTGGCTGAGGCTGGAGGACAGCGGTGACCCCTGAGCCCAGCCCCCGACCACACCGGTGACCCCAACCCCAACTTTGCCCAGGCACATGGTCACTCATCCCCACCCAGCACCTGGGCTGCTATGCCCGAGCCTGAAAGGCCACCTGCGCCTAAAACCCAGTCTTCGAAGTAACCCTCGTTGGGCATCTAACCTCACCCAACTCATTCCCAGCCCCAGCTGCACCCGCCCCCTCCATCCCCAGCTTCTGTCTGACCTGTTCTCGCTTGTGCATTCGGTTACCAAATCTTTTCCGAGCCCCTCCTCTGTGCCAGGCACGCGTCTACGGACGTGAAGATGAGCACCTGAACCATCTGCTTTGAATTTACATTTGCGTTGGAGAGTCGGGACACCTACAGGGGAGACAGAGGAGCCTGGTTGGTCCGGACCGTGGGGAAGGTGCTGTGAAGGGACCCACGGTTCAGAGCCCTGTCCCTGATCTGGGGGGGGGAGAGCGTGCCCGATGGGGGTGTCTCCTGTGAGGAAGGGACGCTGGGGCTGAGGTCAAGATGATAAAAAAAGAGGCGGGCCCTGCAGAGACCCGGGGACAGGGGCGTTTAGGGAAACAGCCCCATTTTTTTTCTTTTAAGTCATCACCCAAGGAAATTTCCTTTTTATTATTGATTTTAGAGATTTAGGAAGGGGGGGGGAGAGAGAGAGAAACATTCATGTGATGGAGAAACATCGATCGATCAATGGATTGGTTGCCTCCCAGACACGCCAGGGGGACGATGCGCCAACCAACTGAGCCACCCGGCCAGGGCGAACGGTGTCATTTCTGCGGCCATGCCCAGTGCCAACACTTAAGCCGTCAGTCCTGGCATCTGGGCCCAGCAGAACCTTCCTTCTTGTCTCCCCCACAGCGGGGAACCAAGAGCGAGCCCACACCCAGCGGGGGCTGTCTCCCCAGGCGCCCAGGATGGTGTTGTCACCTTGGGAGGCGTGAAGAGCAGGCTGGGGGGGGCCTATTCCGGCAGGCAGGGGTGAGGGTGGGGGCCGGGCCGCAGCCTGGTCTAAAAGGGCAGACAGATAACGCGTCCTTCCCAACCCTGGCCCCAGAGAGGGAGGGGTTTCCTGACAGGAAATTGACCTCCTCTAACCCCCCCTCCTCAGATCCAAGCTCTCAGCAGTCCTGGCCGAAGTAGCCTCAGGACAGGACAGCAGCAGGGACAGAGGGACACGGCACGGAGGACAGAGGTGAGAGTGCTGGGGTGCTGGGGAAGAGGGCGGGATTCACGGCCCCCCCAGGCAAGCGCAATAGCCCTGAGCTGGGCCGGAGCAGCGTTCGAGAAAACAGTTGTCCTGAAGCCAGGAGAAACTTGATGCAAGGACAGAATCTGGAGCCTGATCTGGGCAGGGCCAGCGAGGGGGCAGGGAGAGATGGGAGCAGGAGGAGGTTGCAGGGCACTCTGGGGGTCCAGAGAGGCTGCGAGGGAGAGGAGGGGAGGGAGGGCTCCAAACCACCGCGGGGGAGGAGATGCCATGCGACGCGGTTGGGCCTGATGTCCTCTGAGCGCAGGTGGGAGACTGAACCCAGGGAGGGATGAGTGTATGGCTCTGTTCCCAAGAGAGGGGGTCTTGGAGATGGGAGAGGGGACAAGGGTTG